TTTATTGAAAATTAATTCAAATTGAACTATTTTGTTTCATTTTACAGTCATTTGTCCTCAAATTGTGTAAAGGACATACATCTACCTTTGTTACCATATTCCCACTACTTGAGGATGCTTCCACAATAGTTCCATCTTTTCTTGCCCAGTGTTTCTTGAGAAAAAAAAAACTAAAAGATGTCATGATTCCATGCCATGGACTCCCCTTAAAAGAAGGTGACGCACTTCATTTGAACTCACTTGAATTTCCTTCACCCAAGGATACTTTCTGGCAAGTCTTAATTTCTTTCAGACCTAAGATTATCGTACTTTGCCAGTTGATAAATTATGGGTCATCAGACAATGTCGATTAAACAGTAGTTCACACCGACCTTTTTGAAAGTTTTTGTCAATATTTAAATATCTTAAGTAATTATTGGCTTAGATTCATCAGACTTTGTTTGTTGATGCATCTTGCGTTTCTGGAAATTATCAACCATAAAGTAGGTCAATGTGACCTATATTTGATTTTTTTGGCTAGATTCAAATATCACAGGTTATTATTGGCCTAATAATAATAAATTCATCATACTTTGTCAGTTGATGCATCTTGGTTTTTGGGACATTGTCAACTAAAATGAAGGTCACAGCAACCTTTTTTGGAAGTTCATAGATATTTTTAATATATCATGCATTTTGTTTGGCATAAAATCGTCAAATTTCGTCCGATGATTGGACTTTAGAGAATGTCAGCCAAAACGTAGGTCATGATGAACTAATTTTGAAATTTAACGACGATATTGATTTATTTCAGGTCTCAATTGGTTTGGAATTTTCAATCTTTGTCAATTAATGTTTCTTAGATTGTTTGAAATTATCTAACAAAAAATACGCCATTGTGACCTTCGTGCGCATGTTTATGGTTATACATTGTATTTAAATATATCGGATCCTTATTGGCCAAGAAACATTAAACCTAGTCGGCTGATGCATCTAGGACCTTTGAAGAATGTAAACTTAAATGTGGGTATCTGTGACCTATTTTTGAAAAGTTTTTGATATTTTTAAATAATTCTTCAGAATTCTTCAGAAAGATTTAAATAAAAGTAAGCACGATGGCTTTCTTTTGGAAATTCAAGTCATTATTTAAATGCAAAGCAGGTAACAACATTGTCTTCCTTTATAAGGCTCATTATATAAATTGTATTCTAAAAGAACTTGGACTTCATTCTACAACTGGTAATCCTGCTTCTACTCATACTATCCTTTCTAAGCAAGAAATTCTTCAAAATCGCTCGTCAGTTTTTAATACTTTCAATATTCCACAGAGCAAAATGAATTTGAACTACCTTATACATATTCCAAAACTTCATAAGAATCCATACAAACCGAGATACATTGCGGGTTCCAGTAAATGTTCAACCAAGCCTCTTTCGTTACTCCTCACTAAGATACTGACAGTAGTGAAGGAAAAACGTCAAGAGTGCTGTGCAACTATATATTCAAGAAGTGGTGTGAATCAGACGTGGATACTTAAAATTCAAAAGAACTTTTGGAAAGTTTGAAATCACCAAAATCAACAACTTTATACACAACTTTTTCCCAATATAAATTAAAATCAAGACTTTTTGATATCACTGACGGCTGCTTTCTCAATAAAAATGGACCTCGTAGATTTACTTTCCTGGTCATTGGTCATTTGCAAAATTATTTTAATAAAAAAAATTTAGGATGGACACACAAATCCTCTGAAGTTGACATTAAGAAGATGCTTGAGTTTCTGATTGACAATATCTATATGGTTTTTGGAGACCAGGTCTCCCATCAATCTATCGGAATTTCCATGGGAACCAATTGCGCTCTGTTATTAGCAGACCTATTTTTGTATTCATATGAAGCAGAATTTATGCAAAATTTTATGCATAAAAAAAAGAAAACACTTGCTGTGGCCTTCAACTCTTCGTTCAGATATATCGACGACGTATTGTCAATTAACAATGGTAATTTCGATTCCAACGTCGATACGGTATATCCAGCAGAGCATGAAATAAAAGATACCACAGAGTCTGTCTCTGTGACATACTTTTGATGTCTAATGGTAAAGGATTTACACGTAGGATTCCGAATTTATAGAAAAACAAGCAAATTCAAAGTATAAAGTATAGTATTCCTCCGCTGTTGGTGTCTTTGTGGGGTGGGATGTCATTATTTTGGAATATTATGCTAAATATGAACGCCCTATTGTGTGTCATGCAAAAGTTTTCACCAAAGTAATTTTTTTTTAAATGAGATTAAACTTTTGAAAAGTAGATCAAACCTCGGGGTCACTGGGTCAAAAAACACTGAATTTAAGAAAGGTCCTATGAAGAGTATTACACATTCATAATATGAATATCCTATTCAAAATTTTTCAACACGGTTAAAGTTTTTGTGACATTTACAGACGGTTAGGCGAATGAAATTCAGTGTTTTCTCACTTTTGCAAAAGTGTGGGACAATACGAAGATACTACAAAGCTCACCTTCCTCCGCATCTGATATCCCAAAGTTGTACAGTCTTTCCACAAGTCACCAATTTTTCTTCAGTCTTAAACTGCATGTCAAGAACAACATCTCTACCACGTCCAAAACACCAAACTTTTTCTCTGAAGTTTTGGATATTTCATTTAATTACTCTTATCTTTGCTTAAGGTATCTGACACAAAAAAGCCTCAGATTCAATAAATTTTGAATTGATCTGTCCTTGAAGAATTGTCCCTCTTTGGTTTTAATCATTAAAAATCAATTTAATATGCATATACATGGTCAAAACATATTTTTAAATCCTTTTTCTATTCTTAATAAATATATACAAGTTACAACAACTACATGTTTTTGAGTTTTTAAATTTTTATTTTCAAAAATTTGCTTGTTCCTATAGACCACAATGCATTCCTGATTAATAAATTTCTGCTCAAGTAATTATATTTTTGAATTTTTTCTTAGTAAATAAATCCTCCTCTACTCTAAATTTCTGAATTCCAGTGTATTTAATAGAGAATGGATATATAAGGTTAGAAATGTATGTCCTAATATGAGTTGGATACCTTAAAGCAAATCAAGAGCTTATCTCTCATTATCACACAAAATTGGTTCTGGTTGATAATTACGAGTTATTCGTGGATTTAAAAGTTAATTAATTTTCTTTTGTATGTAGATTTCATACCTATTTAAATCCACCAAAGTAATTAGTGCACCTCCATTACCATGGTCAGGGACTGCTAACCCACATGCAAAGCGACTGAAAAATAAATATACAGATTTCCTCCAAATAACTAAATTTAGTTTTTCTTTAAAAAATCCATCTCAATTTGTTCACAGAAAACTCAAACATTTTGTTTGAATACTCTTAAAGAAGTATTCAATGTGTAATAAAGATTCTACGGCTTTTTTTAAAAAAACAATTAATGATTGTTGTATTCTTATGAAGAATGAGAATGCATCCATTTCCAGATCATCTGATAGAACATGCGATTTACCACCTCGTATATTCAGAGAGATTATCCTTTGGGTTTAAAAAATGATTCCATTGTAAATTGATAATAAGAAAGCTATTATCAGTTAGGATCATCATTAAAACAAATCATTTTTAAAATAATTTCATTAAGCCATGAAATGCCTTTATATTAGGCTACATTTTCCTGATTTGTGTTTCTTAACTTTTTAAAAAATTATTAAACGGTTAAATCTAATGAATCATAACTGATTTCAATGATCTCATCCTCAACCTACTTCATTTAAGAACTCTTACACAAAAATGTCAAATTTATGGAAAATATTTCTCAGTGTTGTCAATATTGGCGAAAGTTGTGCAAATTTTTTTTTACTTATATATGATTATAAATACAGTGAATCATCCTATCTGCTCAAAATATATCAAATCTGTATAATCTATAAAGAGAGGTACATATATTAAAACTTTCTCAAACTTATATGTTCATAAATCAGTAGCAAACTCAAAAACAAGAGGCCCATGGGCCACATCACTCACCTGAGCACTAAGGGTAGGAAAAAGTAGAAAATGGCTTTTTATTGTAAAGTTTAAATCCAAAAGTAGTCCCATGACCAATCATGGATTTGCTTTTTTTTTTTAGAAAATGATTTTTAAAGAATTTTCCTTTAAAAACTTTGGTCGGCCATTTTGGCCCCGCCCTACCCCTAGGGGTCATGATTTGAATAAACTTGAATCTAAACTACCTGAGCATGCTTCTATATAAATATGATGAATTATGGCTTTGTCATTCTTGAGAAGAAGATGTTTAAAGAATTTTCCTATATATTTCTATGTAAAACTTTGGTCAGCCTTTTTGGCCCCGCCCTACCCCCGGGGATCATGATTTGAACAAACTTGAATCTACACTCCTTGAGCATGCTTCCATATAAATATGATGAATTATGGCTTTATCATTCTTGAGAAGAAGATTTTTAGAGATTTTTCCTATATATTTCTATGTAAAACTTAGGTCGGCCATTTTGGCCCCGCCCTACCCCCGGGGGTCATGATTTGAACAAACTTGAATCTACACTACCTGAGCATGCTTCCATATAAATATGATGAATTATTGCTTTGTCATTCTTGGGAAGATGATTTTTAAATGAATTTTCCTCTTATTTTCCTATGTAAATCTTTGATCAGCCATTTTGGCCCCGCCCTACCCTTGGGGGTCATGATTTGAACAAACTTGAATCTACACTCCTTGAGCATGCTTCCATATAAATATGATGAATTATGGCTTTATCATTCTTGAGAAGAAGATTTTTAGAGATTTTTCCTATATATTTCTATGTAAAACTTAGGTCGGCCATTTTGGCTCCGCCCTACCCCCGGGGGTCATGATTTGAACAAATTTGATTCTATACTACCTGAGCATGCTTCCATATAAATATGATGAATCATTGCTTTGTCATTCTTGGGAAGATGATTTTTAAATGAATTTTCCTCTTATTTTCCTATGTAAAACTTTGGTCGGCCATTTTGGCCCCGCCCTACCCTTGGGGGTCATGATTTGAACAAACTTGAATCTACACTACCTGAGCATGCTTCCATATAAATATGATGAACTATGGCTTTGTCATTCTTGGGAAGATGATTTTTAAATGAATTTTCCTCTTATTTTCCTATGTAAAACTTTGGTCGGCCATTTTGGCCCCGCCCTACCTCCGGGGGTCATGATTTGAACAAACTTGAATTTACACTACCTGAGCATGCTTCCATATAAATATGATGAATTATTGCTTTGTCATTCTTGAGAAGAAGATTTTTAAAGAATTTTCCTATACATTTCTATGTGAAACTTTGGTCGGCCATTTTGGCCCCGCCCTACCCCCGGGGGTAAGGCTTTGAAAAAACTTGAATTTACACTACCCGGGGATGTTTCCCCATAAGTTTCATCTTTCCTGGCACAATGGTTCTTTCCACCAAATTTTCATTAATTCCCAATTATCTCCCCTTGAATGAGGGCATGGCCCTTCATTTGAACAAACTTGAATCCCCTTCACCCAAGGATGCTTTGTGGCAAGTTTGGTTGAAATTGGCCCGGCGGTTCTTGAGAAGAAGTCAAAAAATGTCAAAAGTTTACAGACAGACAGACAGACAGATGGACGCCGGACAAAATGTGATCAGAAAAGCTCACTTGAGCTTTCAGCTCAAGTGAGCTAAAAAAGCGATAATTTTTAACTTAATAGGCAGTTCAGTTTTTCTAAGAAGTAACTAAAATAAGTAATATATGTACTTCATCTTTAAGTCATGTCAAAACAACAAACCTCGTATGCATCGTCATGAATATCATTTGTAGGATACTTTTTTTCATCAAAACCCACAAAATAAGATTGTCATTATTATACTTTTTTTTTTTTATAATTCTTTATTTTTGTTTTACACATTCTGTTATTTAATACAATAAATGATTAATAACAAATACAGAAGGTGTAATTTTTTCATTTTAGAAAGAGAGAGAAAGAGAGAGAGGGGGGAAGAAGAGAAGAGAGAAAGCTAGGAGGGGGGGTGGAGAGAGAGGAGTGCATGCATTCACAATATTTATATCAGTCTAAAAATTCATTGAAAAAAAGCTTCCAGTAGTTCCAGCAGGTATCAAACATATCCTTTTCACCATTTTTGTATGCAATATGTTTTTGAGTTTCATAAAATGAATTCATAAGCGATATCGCAGCAGGTACATTAAGTGTCTTCCCTGTGCACCTCATTGTGTAGATATAATATTTAAGCCATAGAAAAAGATTATTTTGTATCTTTTTGTGTCATTATTATACTTTGATAATACTGAGGTAATGGATTTTCTTGGAAAGGGTACGGTTTTCGTATCGGAGAGTACATGATCAATAACGGACTCAATGCAAAAAAGTGTGTTTTTTAATTTGAAAAATTGACCCCCTACTTGTTGTAGAATTTCAAAGTTTAAACCTTGTTTTGGATAATGTAAAGGTCTCATGAATTTTCAAACAAAAGAAACTATGGTGTTCCTTTTGAAATTCTTATTGTATAATAACTCAGCAAGGGAAGAACTTCAATGCAGAAATACTCGCAGATTTGTCCTGTTTAGTAAGACACGTGTGAGAAATATTCCCATCTCGTCGATTATATCGCTTTTAAGGATAGGGATTAATAGTTAAATAGGAAAGTCAGACTAGAGTGATTGTTTCAGTGTGGTTAGTTTTTAATTAATAAATTATATCTTTTGAAGTCAGAAGGAAAACAGTCTATACTCATACAACAAAATCACCGAGTCCCTAAACTTTTGATGCAATATAACCAACCTGCCACACTTAGAGAGGGAATGAGATCGGACTGCACTCCCTGTCTCGAAGCGGCATATTTTGCTATTAAAACCAGTTACTCTTTCGTCATCATCTGTCTGTAACCTAAAAATCTTAATTTAAAAAGAAACATTATTGTACATTTTTTATCCGTGGTGTGAAGCTACAGTAATTCGATTCAAGACACAATTAAGATGATGTTAATAATTTAACATTATTTAAAATGATGTTCATAAATATCTTGAATAAACAAGACCCTAGATAAGTTTTACTTCCTACATTCTTTTTTTTTCAAATTTTGCATACCTTTACATCTGCATCCCCTGAAGTAGAAACTACGACACTACCATGATAATCTAAAAATTTTGGTCTTTTTTGATTGACCCCTTGCAAGTTTATGATATTTTCCCTTTCTATATCACTAACATAAATCGTTCCATCCCTGCAATCAAAAATGAAAAAAAAGCTTTAAATAAATGTAGTATTAACTAGATGCTGTCATGAGACAGTAATACCCGCACTAAGGTGTTTGCCTCTAAATACACGCTCCTACATATATGGCAGCTTTCCATGGAAAAAGTCAAAATAATTCTATATAATTTACATGTATTCATCAAATTGAGTATGAAATTCTCAGACCCACCTATAACTCAGAACCTCTTATATTTATTTTACATGCTTAATTCATTATATACCAGTTTGAATTCTATTAATGATGTAAATTAGATTTTAATGAATGTTTTGCTCATAATAGGACCTTTTTAAATTTAATAATCCCCCCCCCTCCCCCCTCGACACCACAATCACACAGCACATACTTTTTGGAATAGGCTAGATGGAACAGTTTTGTTAAAACATCATTTGTTATGAATTAATTTAAAATTTGTTCTTGTACTATACATGTTAACATGTAAATTTCTACGTCTGTTACAACGCACTTTGAAAAATTACGCACTTTGAAAAAAATTTTCAAAGTGCGTTAAAATTTGGGACCAAGCTGACGCACTTTGAAAAAATAATTTTATTTCAAAGTGCGTTAATATCGACCATATTAACGCACTTTGAAAAAAATGTAAAGATTGATCAATATTCCTTCAAATAATCGTTATGATAAATAACAGATTCTGGTTTGATAACTTTTTTTATGATAAAGTCACTGGAGGACCTGAGATAATGACGTTTTAAATATTAAAGGTTTTGATAAAATAAAAGGGAAAATTAAAGGGTCTTGAAAAAAAAGAGTGACGATTGTTTAAGTCCATTAATTCGTTCCCCCTCCCCTTTTTTTAATTCTAGTCTATGATAAGTAGATGTAAAGGTGTATAGGGGGCACTAACAGAGGACAGCTTCAAGCAACTTAGCATTTATCATAATCAAAAGGGGCCAATTTGATTGTTCAAAACTATGAAAATTCTTTCTCTCTCATACGTTTTACTGTACTTTAAAATTTCTAGTTTTCTGTTTTAATT